TTTTCAATCTGGTAAGTAGTCGTCAAAGATTATTATTAGATAAGAAGCACACTTGAGACATGCACACTTCTCTTTGTGGTCACAAACTCGATTGAACAAATTGGAAGACTGATTAATAATTTGTGGATTAGGTAACCAATTCATGGCTTCTTCTTTGTTTTTCAATTCAACCTCAATCAAGAGAAAGACCAGCACTGTACTGCGTCTGTTGTGGTCCCATTCAGAACTAATACAAAAAAGCTTGACCAAATAAACAAAATAAGATAGTTTCTTAGCTGTTGACTATGGAAATAAGGGGTGAAAAACTCCAAAGTCACAAATTCTATGGTTATGCATGGTTCTCTCAAACTATACGGTATCCCTTCGTATCTGGGCCAAATGCAAAAGTTACGTAACACCACCAGTTCTTGTTTGTAATGCAGCATTAATTGAGACACCAACATATGCAGTAGATTTGGTCCAAAACAAATAGTAACCATGAAATTCAAGCATAGCATATCTTCCGAGAAAATACTAAGAAGTCCAATTTGGTAATTTGTGTTAGCTAGTGAGCGCCAAGAGAAGTAAATGTCTCGGGCATGCCCCTACTGGAAAAGAGGTAGGGAATAATGTTTCAACATATGAATACGTTTCGTCATTTGCACGTGCCATGTGATCCCTTGATTTCGCACAAGCCATTGTCCCTCATTGTTGCCCACCTCATGCCTCTGCGCCACTTATTTCATGTAACGGATGAATTTTCTCATCCCATTCATCTATATATACACAAATGATCAAGTTCACAAGCATCAAGTATCTCCGTGCCAAGCATCAAAACTCTCTCTGTTTCCTAACTCCTTTGAATTCTTTTTCTTCTTCCAACTCCAATTTAAAAACAATGGGGTTCCGGTTTCCAGGAATTGTCAATGACAAGAAAAGTCTAAAATATTCAGCTTCTTCAAAGACCTTAGAGATCCCAAAAGGCCATTTTGCAGTGTATGTTGGGAAGAACCAGAAGAAGAGATTTGTAATTCCAGTATCATGAGCCTTTATTCCTGGATTTGCTTAATCAAGCTGAAGAAGAGTTTGGATACAATATCACAATACCCTGCAGTGAAGACAGCTTTGTTCATCTCACTTCCTGCTCAAGTGTATGAGTGAACACTAATGAAGGTAATCTGGGATCCAACTTCATATCAAAAACATCCTCTTTTTGGAATGTCAAGATTATGACTAGGCTATGATGGATCATACTCGCTTCTTCTGTTGTTGTGAATCTGGGACAACGTCTGCAACAGTCAAGTTGCATGAGGTGAGCACAAAGATAAAAAATTTGTGAAGCAGTCGAAAGATGATAGATATCATGAACTCTCTATGACCAATAGCCCCGAGACGATGACTTCAATTTTGAACTGAAAAACAGTCAAATTTTTTCTTTGTACCCCCAATTAAATTTTTTTATCTCTCCAGGAAAAATGGGAGTATATAAGACATTTTGCTTCTCCATTCATTAATTCTTGTCTTAGATTTTGCATTATACGGTTATCTTCTACCAGATCTGTTGTATGCCATATGGCAGCAGATTTTCTTAATGAACGAAGCATGATGGTTATTCTAGTTTGTATCCGTTAATTTGCCATGTCAGTCTCCCAAATTAATGATGTCTTCAAATAGAGCACATTTTGACATGCCAGTCTCCCAAATTAATGATTCCTGCAGGTAGTGTTATGATATAGGTCAAGAAAAAAAGGGGAAAGTTGTCATTAGTCATCATAATTTATGCCTCTCTCAACCAGCTTTAACATGAGGCGAAGTATGCCATTATACTTTATTGATCTTGAGAAAATCTTCACTGCCATTTGATGATTATAAAACAGAACTACAATTAGATAATAAGACAAGAAAGTGGATGAGGAATTAAACTATATTCATATCTTCCCATATGTTCCAGAAGAGCAAAAAATTAAGAACTGTACATGGGGTATAAACACAAATGTCCTCTTTGAGATCAAAATTGGAGTCAAGTTACGTAATTCGACTGTATTACAAGGTTTCTTAACTTTGGATCCCGGCTCACAAGCATCTTGATGATTTCTGAAGGCTTGCCAGAGTCACAAGCAACACAAGATGTGAGTGTGATCATGTTCTTCTTTCATCTCGACTTAGTGAGTTGTGGTCGAAATGAGGAATACTTCGGATACAGAAGGCTTCCCAGATTAACTTCACTAGTGTTCATTCATACACATAAACGGGAAGTGATATCAAGGAAGGAGTCTTCACTGCAGGGGATGGTGATTCCACCCATTGGATGATCATATCCAAATTCTTCCTCTGCTTGATTCAGCAAATCCTGGAATAAAGGCTCATTCAAGTATGATATTGGGATCACAAAGCGCTTCTTCTGGCTCTCCCCAACATACACTGCAAAGCAGCCTTTGGGGATATCTAAGGTTTTTGAGGCAGCTATGTGACTTAGACTTCTCTTGGCGTTAACAATTCCTGGCAACCGGAACCCCATGGTGTTTACACTCTCAAGAGGAATCAAAACAAGAAAAAGAATTCAATGGAGTTGGGAAACCGAGAAGGCTTTGATGCTTTTGCAAGGAGAGACTTGAGTTGCTCATGGACCGGTCATGAGTTTATATATGGATGAAAGGACCTGCGGAAAATCATGAACTACATGAAATGAGTGGTAAGGAGACACTGAGGTGGGCACCAATGAGGGACAATCTGGCTGGTGAGAATTCAAGAGGTCACATGGGTTTGGCCTCCTACTCCTTTCCCGTAGGGGCATGCTTGAGGAACTTATCTTTGTTGTCACAATTTTTATTAGTTGCAAAACCAACTGATTTATATATTTGGTCATCGATAGGTTTCAAGCTTTTCATTTACAACTGGAGACGGGACATTGATGGTCATGCTAGGGTGGTTTGGTGACTGGTGGACTGATTTGAAACAACAAAGCCACATGCTAGGTTGGTTTGGTGCTCCCAAACAAGTTATACAGCACCAATTTTCATATCCAGGCCCACCAGTTCTTGTCAGTGATGTGTAGGTCTTTCCCTTCATTGAGCATGAAGTCAAGAAGAACATGTCCTAAAAACAAGTATCCATGCAGTGGTTAGAGTGCCTGATCCACAAAATGGTTAATTAGTGCACTTTGGTCAATTCAGTTTGTGAACACAGAGAAGTTTGGATACCTAAAGCATGCCTCTAATTTTTATTTTTTTCAAAATAGGCTTATGTTTCATAACAAATTACTAGGTTGATATTTCTCTTCTGATTCTGTCTGTTATCTGAAGGATGTAGGGAATGATGTTTCGACATAGGGATACAGTTCGGTCATTTGCATGTGAAATCTGTGGGGAGATGATTTATGTGACTAGAAAGACAACCCATGTGATCTCTTGATTTCTTACAATCCATTGTCTTCACCACTCATTTCATGTAGCAGTTAAGTTTTCACAGTGCTTTCATCTATATATACACTCATGATCAGGTTCATCAACAACTCAAAGTCTCATACTTGCCAACCATCAAAGCTTTCTTTGTTTCCTAAGTCCTTTGAATTCTTTTTCTTGTTCTGATTCAACTTGAGAATTTAAAAACCATGGGCTTCCAGTTGCCAGGAACTGTTAACACCAAGAGAAGTCTAAACCAGGCAGCTGCTTCAAAGACCCTCCCAAAGGGCTGTTTTGCAGTGTATGTTGGGGAGAGCCAGAAGAAGCGATTTGTGATTCCGATATCATATTTGAATGAGCCTTTATTCCTGGATCTTCTGAATCAAGCAGAGGAAGAATTTGGATATGATCATCCAATGGGTGGAATTACCATCCCCTGCAGTGAAGACACCTTCCTTGATCTCACTTCCCGTCTACGTGTATGAGTGAATGCTAAGGAAGTTAATGTGGGAAGCCTTCTGCATCCGAATCTTTCCTCATTTCGACCACAACTCACTAAGTCAAGATTTAGAAGAGGCTATAATTGATCACTCTCACAGCTTGTGTTGCTTGTGTTGCTTGTGAGTCTGGGAAGCCTTCGGTAATCAACCAACGCGACACCTTTGGTAATCGCAAGCTGCATGAGCTGAGCAGAAAGATCCGAAATTTTTGAAGCAGTCGAATGACAATGTCATGAACTCTTGATGACCATTGGCCCCGAAAACATGGACCCAATTTTGAACTAAAAGAAAGTCAAGTTTGCTCTTTGAACCCCATGTAAACGTTGTTGTTTCTCTTGAGGAGAAGAGAATATGGGAATATATAAGACAATTTAGATCCTCATCCATTCTTATCTTATATTTTGCACTATATATGTTTACTATCTTCTTCTGGCTCTCTGATATAATTAACCACCAAATAGCAGCAGATTTTCACAAGAACTGAAGTATAATGGCTTACTTCAAAAATTATTATGGAATCTTTTATCCTATGCCAAAGTATTAGTGGGTTCTTTTTGTGTTTTTCACCAAAGTATTTAGCAAGTACCAGGTGCTATCTGAGTTGTGATGGTACTAACTCTTCTTGTTGATGTTAAAGACGAAGACTTCATGATCTATGCCTTCGTGCAGAATCCAATGGATTAGGACAAGAGAAATGGGATTCCTCTGGAACAACTACTTAATCTACTGATATCGATTAGGACCGAGAAACTATTGGGATTGTAAGATACCTTTTGTTTTTGGTTGAAACTAAGGGACCTGTCAAGTGTGAACTACTAGGGACTGAAACATATTTGTACTTTTTTTCCATGTTTAATGTTCTCATTTAGTATAAAAGTTCCAATAATTGGAACAAGCAATCTTGATACAACTACTTCTAATACAAGCCATCTTCAGCTTCATTGAGCGGAAAATCAGAATATTTGGCTGTATCTGTATCTGATAATTTATTGGGAATGGAGACCATCTTCAACTTTGGGATTGTGAGATGTTAAAATTTGATCTACTTCGAGATTCCATTTTTGTACAAGGCAACAAGCTACAATTAGATAATAGCTTACTGAAAAATGAGACAATAAAGTATGAGGAATCAAAATATATTATATTTTCTCATGTTTCCCGGAGAACAAAACATTAAGAATAGTACATGGCATAAAAGACAATTCTTCTTGTCATCCAGTTCAAAATTGGAGTTATGATTTTCAATAGTCTTCGAGAGTTCATGATATCGTCATTCGACTGCTTCACAAATTTTGTATATTCGTGCTCGGCTCACAAGCAGTTTGACCATCAAAGAAGGCTTCCAGATTCATAAGCAACAGAAAAATGTGCATATGATCAATCACAGCCTCTACTTCATCTTGACATGGCGAGTTCTTCTGATCGAACTGAGGTTGATTTGGATATGAACCAGATTCACTTCATTTCCCTTCAATCATACACTTAAGCTGGAAGTGAGATGAATGAAGGTTTAATCACTGCAGGGGATTGTGATACCACCCATTGGATGATCATATCCAAATTCTTCTTCTGCTTGACTCAGCAAATCCAAGAACAAAGGCTCATTCAAGTATGATATTGGAACCACAAATCGCTTCTTCTGGCTCTCCCCAACATACACTGCAAAATAGCCTTTTGGGATGTCTAAGGTCTTTGAAGTAGCAGCCTTGTTTAGACCCTTCTTGGAGTTAACAATTCCTGGCAACCGGAATCCCATGGTTTTTGTATTCTCAAGTGGAAAATTAGAACAAGAAAAAGAATTCAGAGGACTTGGGAAACAGAGAAGACTTTGATGCTTGGCAAGGAGAGAGACTTGTGTTGCTGGTTATGAACCTGATCTCTTGTGTATATATAGATGAAAGAGTAAGGCCTGCTACATGAAATGAGCGGTCTCGAGGAGCAGAGATGGGCTCCATTAAAGGATACTAGCTTCTGAGAAATCAAAACATAACATGGGTTGTCTTCCTGCTCACATAAATCATCTCCACATGCAAATGACCAAACTGTATCCCTATGTACAAACACCGTTCCCTACGTCTTATTTCATCTAGTAATTTGGTCTAGAGATTGATTATTAGGCAATTAGCAGGTAATGCATACATATGTAAGTAATATATAATTACAAGATTGATGTGGTCTAAACATTACTAATCTATGGACAGATATGTCTGAAGCCTGTTTTGTACTGCAAAGAAGGCCAAATATTTGTAGGTGTCCAAACAATTGTTGGGCATCATGTTCTCCAACAAACATACAGACTTAATAACAACCAAGTTCTTGAGATAGAGATAGAAAACATACCATGTGACCCCACCCAATTGTCTCCATTAAACTCTGTCCACATTTCAGATATTTTCCTCTACACACCCTTTCATCTATATATACAGTTATACACACACAAATACACACTGATGATCCTCAATCTTTACAAACATGAAATCTACTGTTTGTGTTTTTCTAAAATCTTTTTGGGTTTTAGAGAGAAACGAAACTGATTCCTGATTACAGTTCTTAACAGATTTTGTGACTGAACTAATATAGCTCACAACCTAATATTTAATTTATGATGAGTCTTCTGTTTTATCTTGTATTTGTATCTGAGCGCAAAGCACGATTTATCTTGATCAAGAGCATATGCACATGGCGCGTACAACTTCAACAGGCATGGGAAGAATATAGAGCTAGCACCGACTCTTAAAATTCAGATGCTAGAGTCCCACATGGAAAGAAGGTTGAACAAGCATAGATCTCATCAAATTAGACAACAAAAGTAACAAGCAAGAATTGGAGAAGCGAAAAAGTTACCTTCTTGTGCTCCGGGACCCCCTACCCTCGTGTCTCCCTGGTATAAGCACATTAAAAAGTGAACAAATGAGATTCCAAATTGGTTGTTGTCATCTTTTAGATCCTTTTTCTATCTCTTCAACCGTTGGGAGGGTTTTTAAAAAAAAATGTAGATTATAAGTTTAATGAATAAATGAACCATGTAATATACATCGGTGTAAGAAAAAGCTAGGTCAGTTTCGTTCACCTAGTAGATCTAAAATGTTACTACCAAAAGGCTTCAGTTTTAACTTCCCACACTATGTCCTATCACTGGAAATATCCAATTGGGAGTGCATGAGGATAAAATTGAGTGTCATTTTTAGTTGTTAAATACTTTGTGATTAGGAAATATATCTTGACAAATAGATTATAACAAATGAATGGAAAAAATTTGAAATACCTGCATATATAGTTATGGAACAGGCAAAGATTGAAATTTCAACTTGCCGGCAAGAAAGGAAAAGGGAGAGAAACCCAGAAACAATAGAAATGCGTGGCATGGGAGGGAGCCCCTATTATGTCACCTCCCTAGTTTTCAATTAAGAAAATGTAGAGGAATTATGAGGATCCTTCCCAGCCACCCATCTCCATTGGCCTCTGGGAGGCCTATCTCCCATTTCAAGTCAGCCAATTCTAAGAGTGTGTTATGCTCTCAAGATTTAGAGACCTTTATTTATAGAGAAGCCAAGGATACATAAGTTGAAGAAAACAACCTACAGTGCCCATGGTTTCCATATGGTGAGGAATCTGTGTGCCACTGTAGTTGTTTAACCACATGTTTTGGCAATTTTCATGAGGAAGGATAAGGACAATTGGGTTGGCATTCTTGCATGCTTTCCATGCGTCGTAAAATACGGTTGTGATGTACTTATATTGAACCATTTCTTTTATCAGTTCACGTGATGAATGCGATGAGAGAGAAAAAGAGAAACCGGTTATATCTGACACCTATGAATAGAAAATCGTGACAGGTTGGCGAGGAAGTTATGTTTTTTGTTTTCCAAAATTGGATTTTGGATTTTGGGGATATTGGTACCAGTTTTTGCTCCACTAAATAATTCAAATGCATAATCAAACTTAAAATGAAAGTTACAGGTATGATAGATATGAAATCTAGTTTCTCAAACTAGTGAATAATCTCATTCACTTTGTTCAATTTTTCAATTATTGCTAGTTCTAGAATTTTTGAGTTTGTATGGACCTTAAGATTAAAAAAATCAAATTAAAGGCCGCGATGTATCTCAGAGGAATAGGGAAAAGGGAAAATATATATAATGGTTCATAGAATAATAATGAAATTTGATAATTTTTGTCAATACTTATAATTGTGGGATAGCTGATAAGATTTTTCTAGTGGACAATGTGAGAACTTGATTTAGCTATCTAGTTGATCTTACACCGAATGGCGCTAGGTTGTCCCTAGTACTGTAAAGATGATGAGTGAATTTGAGACAGTACTGCTTGTTGTCCAAGAAATGTAACTTCTAACCAAGCCATCGTAAATCGAGTGGTAGGTAATTTGGTATAAGTTCTTTTCTTGACTTACAAGTAATAAGACTTGAATTCTTTGTACTGAATAAAATGGAAATGAAAGCCTTTATAAATTCATCGGGCCTTTATAAATTCAGGTCCAATCGACATTTATATGGAGATGAATGCTTGATTGGAAAAACCATGAAATCTGCAGTACGTGGTGTAGAGGTATGATGGGAATGAATGGGGAAACATACGCATATGAAGGATCACATGATTCCGTCTTCCACATCATCAAGAATTTGGCAATGATTGAGACTACATGTTTGTTGGATTGTGTTTCAGTTTTAACCAATCTGAAGTGCTTGCTAGGACAGGAAACGTTTGCCGACTCTAATATATCTTATACGACAGTACGTTTGTAAATATTTTGTGGTTTTTTTCCCCTCAGATAATTTGTTTTTCTATGAGTTTTCAAAAATCCAGTTAATAGCCCATGCCCTTGGACCATTTATGCAAGCTGGAATATTGTCCTCAGAGAAAAGGGATAAGTGATCATGCTACCTTTAGGCACCACCCATAAACAAAATAGAAACAAGAGCTCTGCAATTATTCAAATAGACATTGAAAAGGAATATTCTCCTTTTGGAATTATAGAAATTTGAGATAAAAACTAAGAAGATTATTGAACAACCTAATGACCTGAAATCCAATTAGATTTTAGAAAAACACAGTAGATACATAAAACTTTACCTAACAAATAAAGGTGTCAAATTTTTCAAAAACATTTTCTTACAAACAACGGAAAAAATCCAAGATTGAATTGAACCACTCAAACCTTATTTGCTAATTACTCAGTTAGCTACTCTGTTAAAGTAGAGAAGTTACCTAATATATATCCAACAAAATAGTCATATTGTACAGCCCAAGTGGAATAAAAGTTCAATTTTGGAGGTACAGTCCAACCAACTTCTCTCTGAGAGTATTTGTCTCACATTAAAAATAAGAGACTAAATCTGGGTTTATAAGGAGTTGAGCTACTCCTCCCTTTGTCAATTGGTTTTGAGGTGGAACTTCAACTTCCTTCATGGTATTAGACCAAGGTTTCATGTATTTAGCCTAATGGCCACACGTGCTACAACGTCACTTAATATGTGTTATTCATGTGTTAGACTTGAAAATTCGCAACACGTGCAGAGACGTGTTGAGAGTATTTATTCCACATTAAAAAATTAAGAAACTAAACCTAATCTCCCTATTACTAATCGAATTTGGAGTCAAACCTTAACCTCCTTCGTCTACTACTCAATATACTGCTCTAGCTTCTAATGTCTAGTCACGTTTCCAGCTTTATTTTCCATAATTTATAGAGGAAACCTTCGCAGCTCTTGTTGAAAATGATGAGAGAGAACACATGGTGGGGGCGGAAAAGTGGGACAAAGGGAGAATGACTCGCCACTTCTTTTTAGCCTGTAGCATTACTCGCCAGATAAAGCCAGCAGAGCGGGGTCTACATGTCAGCGGCCGTGGCTCCCTCTAAACTTGATGACCCAGATTTTATTGATTTTGTATTTGCACTTTAACGGCTATAAAATCTGATGGTTCATATTATTCATGATGGGATCAGATGACAAGCTTTATTTTTGAACAAAACCAACGATTTATATTACATAAAATCATATCTTCTCGAGATGTTAAAAAATTTAGGGAGTTTCACTAAAACACCCAAAATGAGGCTGAAATTATAAAAAAACCCAACACCCAAAACACTTTATAAACACACCCAAAAAATATACAATTGTTAATTTTGGAGTTGATTTTGGGTGTGTTTCTATGCTTAAATAGTGTTTGGGCTTTTTTATAAATACATGTCTAGGATTGGGTTTATTTATAAATTTGTAAAAAATTTATATCGATTTGTTTGGAAAAAAAATTAACATCACACTAAAAAATAAAAACACAAAAAAAAAAAAAAAAAAGTTAACACAACACAAAAATTAACACAAAAACTAATTTATATAAAGGTATGCAAATTTATGCCCTCACATTTACATGCATCCATCTCATTGGAGGAGGTGCGTAAATGTTGCTTTATACCTCCATCTGCCAGGAAATTGCACACCCGTAAATAATGCATGCATCAAAAGCTTTCATTTTTGTTTTTTTTTACATTAAAGGAAAGAAACTTTTTGAAATTTCGAACTTGAGTGCTATGGGCCTGGGAGGAATCCACCACCACTGTGGTGGAACCCATTACCATTTTCATCTTTCTTTTGGCCCTACATGATTTTACAACACTAGGGTATAATTATAATCAAAGAAACCACAAACCACAAGCAACAGCTTCCTATGCTTCCTACAAGAGCAATGCTATTCACAATCCCTCAAAAGCGATTCTCACTATACTTGCTAGAAACGTGCCTGTCTTTTTTCTCTTTCTTCTCTCTCTCTTTTGTTCTTGTTCTTCTTTTTCTTCTCAGTCTCCATGTCTCTTTCTTCTTCTTAGAGCAACTCCACCCATTTGCCCTTAGCCATGGCAAGGAGGGAGCTAGGGCAGCCACTATTCACGTGAATAGTGGTTGCCCTTGCAAAATCAGCATTTTGTGTTTCCACCCATTGCCCTAGCTAAGGGCAATTACTATTCATTTTTTTGTTTTATTCACAATTTTATTTACCTTAATAATTAATGTGGATAATATTTTCGGATAAGATTTACGGGTTCCTACGTGTCAAGACTATTCATAATCAGATAAAATTTCGGGATAAGATTTTTTGGTTCAAATTTCGGATGAATTTCAAAATTCAAATTTCAGATAAAT